GATACTGCAAAATCTCCATTCCCACCCGACTCCGGGGAAGGATACTGCAAAATCTCCATTCCCACCCTACTCCAAGGGAAGGATACTGCAATCTCCATTCCCACCCTACTCCAGGGGAAGGATACTGCAAAATCTCCATTCCCACCCTACTCTGGGGCCAGCCAGAGGTGGCATTTGCCGGTTCTCCGAACTACTCGAAATTTCCGCTACCGGTTCTCCAGAACCTGTCAGAACCTGCTGGATTTCACCCCTGGTCCAATCTCTTCCTAAAAAACTCCAGTGATGGAGGACCCACAATTTTCTAGAGGCAAGCTGATCGACTGATTAATTGTTCTGTAAGCTCAGTAGGTGGAAGTAGCCATCAGAAGGAGACAGAGAAGACACTGTGCTTTGCTGGAATTCAGAGTCCTGCAGAGGAAGCAGGATCTGAATATTTAGAGGAAGCAGAGTAGAGAAGGCAGAAGAGGAGATGGGAGGGTGTAATTAGCCCTAAAAGGCCAAGAGGATGCAACCTGGCCCAATCAGAAGAAAAAGAAAAAAGTTTTGCTGTTTGGTGACTCTGCTCAATGAAGAACTGAAACCAACGTACGTCAGCCAAGCCCATCGGTCTGTGAAGTCTCTTGTCTTTCAGGAAATTCCTGACGTCTCCTGCTTTTCATTTTTCTTTTTCTTTGATTTAACGGCGAGACAGAGAGCACTCCCAAACACAAAAGAAAGCCGGGTTTGATTACACAGTGGAGAAAAGCAGATACTATATTATAGGGATGAAAACAAACGAAATGCGGTCGAAAAGAAAAAAAGAAAACCGATTGGTAAAAGAAAGAGAATTAAAACGCATTCAGCCTGTAAGCTTCCAAAGGTAGTCCTCGACTTACGACCACAAGTGAGCCCAAAATTTCCGTGGATAAGCAAGTCGGTTGCCAAGTGAGTTTTGCTCCATTTTACAACTTGTCTTGTGACGGCTGTTAAGTGAATCACGACAGTGGTTAAATGAACCGTTCAATGATTAAGCAAACCTGGATTCCCCCGTTGACTTTGCTTGACGGACGCCTGCTGGGAAAGTTAGAAATGGTGATCACATGACCTCCATCCAAGTTCCGCAACTGTCATAAGTACCAGTCAGTTGCCGAGCGTCTGAATTTTGATCACATGGGAATGCGGCTACTGTCTACTTGTGGAAAAAATGATCAAAAGTCACTTTTTTCAGTGCCATTGTAATTTCTAGTGGTTACTAAACGAATGGTTGTAAGTCAAGGACTACCTGTAATTAATTCTTGACACTATAGAAACGTATCTTCAGAACCGTGGTGGCGCAGTGGCTAGTATGCAGTATTGCAAGCAAACCAGGGGTGGGTTGCTGCCAGTTTTACTACCGATTTACAACGCGCACACAGTGTGTGTGTGTGTGTGTGCGTGTGTGTGTGCTGTTCAATGTAAATTGTTCTCCGTGCATACGCAGAACAATTTACAGTGAACTGCGCACACGCAGTCACTAAAAACCAAAATGGTGGTGGCCCAGCAGCGGTGAGAGAACTGGTTCAGGGGCGTGGCAGGCCTGGGTTGCTGCTGGTTCTGTGACCCAGACCTGAATTCCACAACCGGTTCGATCGAACTGGGCCGAACCAGGAACAACCCACCTCTGAAGCAAATTCTGACAACTGTTAGGAGTTCGATTCTCACTGGCTCAAGGTTGACTCGTCTTTCCATCCTTCGAAAGTCAGTAAAAATGTGGACCCAGATTATTTGGGGGAAAATATGTCGACTCTATAAACTGCTTAAAGAAGTGCGTAAAGCACTTTGGAGCGGTATGTAAAACTAAGTGCTGTAGCTATTACTATCTTCTCGTTTTTAGAACCCAGACTTCTCAAAAATAGGTAATAGACTCATATCCTGGACCAGTTCCTTAAAATTAGAAGGGTGTTTCCCTCCCTTGTGTTGACAACTTTTTTTTCCTTCTGAGGATATAAAAAGGCACGAGAAGATCGGCAATCCTGGGCAGGCAGGACTTAGTTGAGGACATGGGGACAGCAAGAAAATTGGAGGAATGTGGCCAGGTAATGATGAGTGAGACTGATTTAAGATCAGGGGTGGTATTTTCTTACCGTAATTTTTGGAGTATAAGATGCATCCTTCCCCCCCAAAAAAAGAGGGTGAGAATTTGGATGCGTCTTATACACTGAATACAGTATTTTTGGCCTCCCAAAGCCCCGCCTCTTTCACAAAAATGGATGTGCAGAGGGCTTGGGAGGCCTGCAAAGTGCTCCTGGGAGCTGGGGAGGGCAAAAACAAGGGAAAAACGGCCCATTTTTTTGGTTCGGTTTTGCTCCCTTATCCCCCAGGAGCTCACTACAAGCTTCCTAAAGGCTATGCATGCCCTTTTAAAGGAAAAAATAGGCCCATTTCTGCAAAAATGGGCTGGGTTTTGCTCATTTTTGCCCCCCCCCCCAGCCCGCAGAAGCACTTTGCAGGCCCCGTTTTTCACAAACAAATGAGGCGTACAAAGGGTTTAAGAGGCCTGCAGAGTGCAAAAACTTTTTAAAAAATCTACCTCTTCAAAATCTTGGTGTGTCTTATACTCCGAAAAATATGGTACCTTCCCTACTGGTTTGCAAATGTGAGTGTCTGCGCATGCAAATGCCGCTCTCACATGCGCCACTTCTGTGTATGTGCTCCGCCTTCCGCGCATGCACTTTGCCTAAAAAAAGGGCCTAAATGGGATGCCGTAGATCCGGGGTGGGTGGGGCCACCAACGATTTCCGCTACCGGTTCGGGCAAACCGGTCCGAACCGGTAGAATGCCACCTCTGTTTAAGATGTCCTTTAACAAATAACAGTACAGGTTGTCCTTGAGTTATGACCATTTGTTTAGCAACTGTTTGAAGTTACAATGGCAGTGAAAAAAAATGACTTGAGACTGGCCCTCACACTTACAAGCAGGACAGCATCTCCATGGTGACAGAATCGAAATTTGGTTGCTTGGAAACCGACGTGCATTCGTTATGGTTGCAGCATCTTCCTGAAGTCTCCTGATCACCTTTTGCAACCATCCCAGCTGGCTTCCAACAAGCAAAGTCAATGCGGGAAGCTGAATTTGCTTAACAACTTCATGATTGACTTGACAACTGCAGTGATTCACTTAAAAAACCTTGACAAAAAAAAGATCAGGCATAACTTAACATCTGCCTGGCTTAGCAATGCAAAATTCTGGTCGTAAGTCAAGAACTACCTGTCCCGAAGGTGCTTTTTCAAAAGGCACTTTGCTTTTCTGGAAAGGCGTTTCTCTTCTCCTTCAAGAAGTTTGCTTCAGCTTTTCAGAGAAGCTTCTTGGATGGGAAAGAAAAGAAAAAAAAAACAGAAAGTCCAGTTCTGCCTCTTGAAAAAGCACCTTTGGGACAACCATGAACCTGGATGACTGGGAATCTCCATAGCAATAGCACTTAGACCAGTGATGGCAAACCTCTTCAACACAGAGTGCCCCAACTGGAACGCACGTGCATGCATGCCAGCCAGCTGGTACTTTGCGTGTGGTGGAGTGCTGAAAACCCGAAGAACAGATAGCCAATGCGTGCCAGTCATTGCTCTTTGGGTTTCCCGCGCATGTGAAGACCAGCTGGCTGGTGTGTATGGCACGCACCGGAAACCAGAAAAGCAGCTGGCCATGGTGGGCGTGTCCACAGAGAGGGCTCCGGGTGCTACCTCTGGCATGGGTGCCATAGGTTCACCATCACG